TTCTCCATGAGCTTCGCAATGGAGAGACGCACACGGAGTGTCGGAAAGGTTTTCGCATTCGAACTTCTGTTCAGGCAGTGGAGCATTGCAAAGCAATTCCCTGCCAGGACAACAGAGGGCATAGCATTTTTCTGGGGTATCCTGCCACCATAACACTCATGTATCCGGTCTGCAATCATGTATTTACTAATGTGTTTATATATTTCAGACTTTATAACAGGGACAAATTTGTCCTTCATTCTCCTCCATCTCTTCATGCGGTCGCCACCTCTAAACCTACATTTCTCGTCGTTTCCGTCCGCGTTTGTTCCGTATTTTGTACTCCTTCACTCACGGGTGAATAAATGTTCATTTTTTTGCACTTTTTCCACGATGTTTTCTTCAATCTGCTCTAAGTCTGCAACTAAATTTCTTTTTACTATTTAACAGGGCAACGGTGGTGCTGGTGAGGAATTTACAGGAAGCGGCGTCCTGACCAATAACAAGCTTGCTGTCTCTGTCATTTTCGACGGATGTTTAAAATTTAGGGCATGTCTCCATCACTGTTTCTGAGCCCGTCTCTGAGCCCTTGCGCCGACGCATAATGGCGTTACGTGTCTCCGCACCGACGTCAACGGAGAAGTATAAATCAGGGTTAAAACCTAAAGACTTTTGTTTAATTTATTTTTTGTTTTAAGAAGTGACAAATAGGTGTTAAGCAGGATGGCGTCCCAACACGGTCACTTCATAATCTATAAATCCTGAGGCATGGACTCCATTGAGGAAATGGAATAAAACACTGTTCTGGATCATAGCTCGGGACGTAGGGCGGGTTGTCTTGTGAATCGGAAGATTTTGTGGGATTGATTACCGCTCCCGCCAGGAAATTTTGTTTTTGTGTCCTTGGGTAAGACACTTCACTCGACTTGCCTGTGCTGGTGGTAGTCAGATGGGCCGACGGTGTACAATGGCAGCATCACTTCAGTCAGACCCCCCAAGGGCGGCTGTGGCTACATAGTAGCTTGCCATCACAGGCAGTGTGTGAATGTATGAGAGCAAGAATAGCTTTGAGTGCCTTGAAAAGCACTATATAAATTCAATCTATTATTTTTATTTGTGAAATCACAGAATTACCCTTGTTTGACACAATGACTAAAACCACTTTGTAATGTGTGAAAAGCTGGAAATTGTTGAACAAAAGGTGTAATTTTCTCCTTAAGCAGAGAACAAACCAAATTACTCAGTAATTTAACACCATTTAGAGCTACATGCGTTTAAACACCGAGCCAATTAGCTGCTCCGGATCATAGACTAAAGTCTTAGTCAAGCTATTATCTCCTATTTGTCCAAATGACTTCATTACAATCTAATCTGTGTGGCATTCACTTACACTCTGTGGAACGTATTAAATCAAATCATCAAATCAACTTTATTTATATAGCACTTTTCATACAAAAAAATGCAACTCAAAGTGCTTTACAGATTAAAATGGCCCCATAGATCCCACATTCCTATCCCAGCCCCCCTCCCCAAGTATAAAACAATTAAAAATTACAGTTCCCCTCCCGCACCCAACTTCCAAAAGTGGACATACAATCACCCGCACACTCGTCCATGCACACACACACACACACGCACACACACACACTCGTGAACACCAGAGTAAACAATAGGCTGAGTTCAGATGGGTCAGGTAATGAACGACACATCATCAGCGGAGCCATCTGCCCTGGCAGCAACAGATCCACGGCAGCAGCCAAGACACCGGCCCATGACGCCCAGTGGCATAGGGCAGAAACCCCCACCAGTGCCCGGGCACTACCCGGGGAGCGCCCCGGCCGCCGCCGCCCCTGACCACCGGCCCCAAGGCAGAGGGCTCCGCAGAGGAAACACTGGAGGATTTAAGATATATAACATATAAAATAATAAAAGCTAATAATGATAAAAAGTAACTGATAAAAAGTGATTATAAAGATAGTAAAAGAAAACATAATCATATAAAAACACTAAGATGTAGATAAAATGATTAAAAAAAATAAAAGAGATAAATATGTACTTATAGATAAATTGTGATCAGTTAAAAGCTAAGCTAAAAAGGTGGGTCTTGAGCCTATTCTTAAAAGCCTGGATGTTCCCTTCGGACCTGAGGTCCTCCGGCAGCCCGTTCCAAAGGCGAGGGCCGTAATACTTGAAGGACGCCTCGCCGTGGGTGTGAGTCTTAACTTTAGGGATAACTAGGAGACGGCTGCCAGAGGAGCGCAGAGACCGCGAGGGTTTATACAGTAAAAGCAGTTCTGAAAGATAAGAAGGCCCAAGACCATTAAGACACTTAAAAACCATTAAAAGAACCTTAAAATCGATCCTGAAACATACGGGGAGCCAGTGCAGTGATTTTAAAACCGGAGTGATGTGCTCCCGCTTCCTGGTCTTCATCAGGACACGTGCTGCTGAGTTTTGTAAGAGTTGTAAACCTGAGATGCTCTTTTTGGGAAGACCAGAAAGCAGGGCATTGCAGTAATCAATTCTACTGGTTATAAAAGCATGCACTAGCGTCTCCGCATTGGCCCGAGAGAGAATGGGTTGGACTCTGGCGATATTCTTAAGATGGTAAAAACCTATTTTTGTGATGTTTTTAATGTGGGGGATAAAGGTCAGCTCAGAGTTGAAAATAATGCCCAGATTCTTCACTTGTAGTGATGGATAAAAAGACATTGACTGTAGTTTAGGTAAAAGTTTCTCTCTCTGGGCCTCAGGACCGATGACTAAAACTTCAGTTTTGCCCTGGTTGAGCTGGAGAAAGTTTTTAGTCACCCATGATTTAATATCTAAAATGCAATTAAAAAGTGTTTCCATTGATAGTGTTGTTATCTTAAATCTGTACAATATGTGAAAAGCAAATATATAAATTCCACTCATGAGGACAATCAGGACGTCGTGTGTTTATTATTTATAGATGCAACATTGTTATCTGGCTGCCAAAAACCTATTAGTGATGAAAAGTAGCATCAGATTTTTTGGGGTAGCTTCACGGTGGGAAAGTCATCTCTGACCTGGAGGCAAACAGTCTGCAGGCTGCTCTGCTTAGCATGCATTCCATGTGCAGACATCAACGAGCTTTAAGCTCACTTTTTCCACTAAGCACAAAGGAACCTTTGCGAATCCTTGGTATAGCAAACTATTTCATACAAAGTAACCCGTAAAGTCTGATTCTGAAGTCTGGATGTTGTTTTGTTTTTCAAAAAAATGACTTAACATTTCTTTTTAGTCAAGTTTCTAAACAAATTCAGTCTGTCTGGAGAGTGAAAGCAGACTGAAGACCGCACAACTGGACTATTTAAAAAGTGAACTAAATCCAGGATTTTTCTGTTAAAAAATCCAGAATAGAATCTTTTAACAAGTTAGAAAAGACAAATGAAAGCTTCGCACTGAAATGTGGCCATGACATTTAAATTGTACAAATAAAAAACTAAATTCTTTCCTTTTCATAAAAGATGAGCCTAAAAATCATATTCAAGCTTATTGTATGACAAGTTTCATCCCCTTGGTTTTACGATTTGACTTGTTTTAACCTCCTGAGAACCAAAATTGTAGTTGGTGTGATTTAAAATAATAAAACACTTCTGGTCATTACAGATTAGTCAACGCTCATTAATGTGAAAAAATAATAAATAAATAAATAAATAACCTGAAATTTTTTGACAATCTTCTGAAAAGAAAAGAAGGAAAAAAAGAACTTAAAGTAAATATCAAGTTTTTCTAAATAATAAAAAAAGGTCTAAGTTGAATAAATTAAAATATTACATTCGAAGAAGTCTTGTACAAATATGGACGTATTAGGAGGTTAAACATTGTACGTCTCGATAATAATATAATTTATGAAAGCAAGTGAATGTAAAAATAAAAGCAGCTCAAAATAGCCTTTAGTTAGTGCCTGAAAAAGCTCCAGGTCTTAATTATTATTGTTATTATTAGAAACGTATTTTGTGTGGTTCTTTTCCAAATGAATGACACAAAATAAATAATAGATAAATACTCTCCCTATGTCTTTTTTTTATTTTTTATTTTTTTAGGGGTTGGGAATGAAGAAAAAATTGATTGATAAAAGCTCTGTTGAAATCAAACTGCTCTTGCGGAGGGTCATTTTACATACGGAGCAGTTCATTTCACCATTATTATTTTCAAGCCAGGGATACAGTCTGAGCCAGTTAGCCTGAAACTTATCTTAGGCTGCTCGCTAACGTTAATTTCAGTGACGCTATCTTTTTGAAAGTCCGGAGGATCTGTCTCCTGTCTCATTCACAGCATCGCTGAAATCAGCGCTGCCTCCCGCCCTGCCTCCAGCGCCTCCTCCCTCGCTGCCTTCTGCGCTGGGGATTTCTTGTAAAGTTTTTTTGGGAGCAGGTTCCCCTTCTGTGTTAGATTTCCGTTTTAACCAGCGGTCTATGTCTGCGTGCAGGCGTTAAATCCGACAACCAAAGCACTGCTTTGCTGCTAGCTAGGGACTGAGCTCGTATTTTGATAAGTGGAGAAAAAAAAATAATAATCCAGCGCACCGCCAATCATCAAGATGAAGAAAGGGTTCGATGTTGTGGGATTTTAACGGTTCCGATACAAACGTCCACATTCGCTGCAGGCTGTGCGGGACTTTCCCGCATTGTAAAACTAGATTTGCGAGAAGCGACTATATAACGCGCAATACCCGCAATACCGCAGTGAATTTCAGGCCCTGAATTCTGCAAGATAAAATGTTAGTTTTGGTAAAAATTTACTTATTTTTTAAAACAACATCTGAAATAAAATCCAGCAGACGCCGGCCCACAGCCAGACAGGGTCAGATGGGGTTTGAAGGACCACTTGAAACTGTGACTATGGCAACTTCAGAAACAATCCTCTATCTCAAACACAGGGAGAAGAAAAGTTATCCATCCTCTAGTGAGTCATCTTTGGTTACATCAACCATTGTTGCTATCATCTTAGTGTAACTAGAATGTTATGATTCATGTGAACAAGAATAGACTTACCTCAAAGACTTCATCGTCCAGGATTCTGGTGCCAAAGACAGTAATGCCTTCTGTGTTGACCACAGCTTGGTCACTTCTTTTGAGAGGCTTGGTCACCTTCTTTTTACAGTCTACAATGATTGTCACACTTTTCTTCTCCACGCTGATAGCGACTCTGTGCCATCTGAGTAGAAAACAAGCAGTTTGATCAGAAACAACTGAAAATGTTCCTTTTTTGCAAGTTTGGTTAAAATGAAAACATCTGGAGTTGTTATTAAACTGGACAGCATTATCACATTTTGCAGCTTGTTTCTCTTGTATTTGTCTAGTCTTCAAACTAGGACATTTAGTCCTTCTACACATCTACATACTAGGGGTTGTATCAACTAGTCGGCTAGTCAACTTCACTGCTCTGTACTGACTTTTTATGCCTTTCATAGACTAGTCGCTGTCACATGATAATGACCGACAAGATAGAGTCCTCGGAAAAGATAGGTGACGAGCCCCTGCGCGTTGGGAGGCGACCCGTTGTGCCAGAGCATCAGCATCTGACGCCCGCAGTAAAACGGACATTTGACCGAATTGTGACCTTTACCCTCTTGCAATTTAACCTTCCCCTCACCCCCAGCCTAAACGTAACCATCTTGCGCATGCAAAACATTGTTTCACATTTCATCGTTCCTCTCAAATACGCTTAACGGAAAATTTAGACTGACATACTGGGTAAAGGTTAGGGTGGGGGTGAGGGGAAGGTTAAATAGCAAGAGGGTAAAGATCACAATTTGGTGAAATCTCCATTTTACCGTAGGCGTCAGCTTCACCTCCCGACGCGCATCGGAAAAAAAACGCTCGGTCACCTATCGTCAGTTTTAGCCGCTTCAGATGTATGACGTCATCAATGATTAGTCAAAGTCAACTAGATTTTCATTACTTGACTGTTGACTTTAAAAAAAAATTAAGTCATGCATCCCCTACTACATACAGTTCCAAAAGGACAAAATGGCTGTTCTTCATTGAAGTTGAAGTTATTACAGCCTTCATTTTGTCTACTTGGGTCCAACACATGGAACTTTCATTGTTTTTTCTAGCACATGATGTTTTAAATAATTTATGCTCTCTAACTGCATTCAAGGAAGTCTTTTTTTTCTGTGTGAGCTGCTGTAAGAAAGCTGCTCCTAAAAAAACTACAGCATTAAAAAAAAACTAGTTAACGTGGTGCCATGCCAAGCAGACCTAGATACGGTTCAAATCTGTTTGTGGGTTGTGACTAAGAACCCATTAGACAGGCCAGCTGAAAGTGAGTCAGGAAGTTTGCAATTATACAGCATCTGTGTTACACACAAAATAAATGACAAAGCAAATTAAATGTGTACTCTCAAAGGATGGAAATGTTCTTTATATTTAAACAGGTTTCATAATTGTGCACCATTTAAAAGTGTGGAACACTCGTTAAATCAATATTTTTGCAGTGGTTTCTAGTAGGAATGGATGTCTTTTAAGTCGTACTCTGGGGGGTAAAATACACAGGATGCACCATTCCTAGGAACTAAACGTGAGCCACATCACAGTTAAGCTTCAGCCGACAGATTTTGGAGTCTTATTTCCTGATATCTGGACATCTTGCTTCGTATTGGGTAACAGCAACACCACTGTACCGCTGACTGGCAAAGATGATGTTTTATCTCCACAGATACCACAAGACTGGAGAAGTGCTGCTGTGTGGTAGAGTTGCTAATGCTAACAGTTAGCTCCTACTAGCCGCGATGGTCGCTTCTGTTTCCTGGACTCTAAAACAACAACAGCCTTCCCATTGTGAATCAAGATGGGTTAGTCCAAGAACGTTCAGTGACAGTGTGATTATATCTGTCAGGATTTTTAACCTTAGAGTTTTACCGTTTATTATCTCTCAGAAGCTAATGCAGGGATGGGTGTAGGAGACTATTTTCATGGGCAGTCTGCATGAAAAGTTCAGAGTGACTGATTATAATCAGAAATAATCATTAAAAATGTTTTTTTCAGTCTTCCACTGAAGATATTTCAGGGTTTTTTTAAACGTGAAAAACTTTAATGCTTCTTAAACTGAAATCAGTGTTCATATTGTAAATATACACTTAAATGCTTTTTAATAATGTAATTTATTACAGCTAAACATTCATGAGGAGCCTCTTCAAGGCATCTCTGCTGGTGTTTATACATATGAATAATGGCAACCAGAAAGGCTGGTTTTCATAGGAAAACTATGCATTTCATGACGATCCTAGCCATTACACCATATCATTGTACTGCTGCTGTAAATCATCAAGAAGAAAACAACGACTGTCATTAAATTGTTAACTGCAATTTATTTGTCATTATTGTCTGACTTGTTCCATGTGGTATTAATGACTAAGCAAACATGTGTTGATAAAAAATGTGCAGCGCTATGAGCCATGTCTCCATGCCAGAAGAGTTCTTGATGCCTGAGAAAATACTTCAACCCGATCGGTTTCTTTTAGTGTGAAATACGACCTATAAATCTTACTAAAATTGTTGGGATGAGCTTTAAACTCTGCTGCTTTGTTCCTGAGATATTCTCACAAGATGCATAGCAAACTCAATAGGATTTTTAAATTCAAAACAAAAACCCAAGAGCTAATATGATTGAACAGCGTGACTCGAGTGGTTCAGGAAATTCAAACGTCCGCCAACCACGTTTTACCACCTGTGTTGTAAAGACCTCTTCAGGGGCAGTCACTTACTTGCCATCAGCGAGGTTGATGGAGCGGAACAAAGGGTACTCCTCTGGGGGTGGTTTGCCATGCTGGTCCTCATACATGAAGACAGGAGCGCGACCCACCTCCACCCCGAGCTGCTGAAGGCCTTGTTGGTTGTAAACTGATAAAAGGAAGGATTGAAGTCCAGCCTTGGGTTTGATGGTGAAGAGAATAGAGAAGTCTTCTGGGAAAATCCCCCCTAAATGTGGAACAAGAAGCAGAAAAGCAGTCTGATAAATTAAAGAAGTTTAGTGGAATAATTTATTAATAAAACCAAAATGAAGTCATTTGTAGATTTGTTATTTATTTCTTTCTCAAAAATTTTCCATGGACATGTTTGGTCTAAACTTCAGTGGTCTCCGTTAAAAGTAACTGAAAACTCATCCGTTCAGGCTGGTATTCACGTGACTTCCTGTTCATTCTGTTTCTGTCTATTCAGACTTTTTTCTTGTGTTTACTGTATTTGTTTTTATTTATGTTTTTAATCAGTTATTTTCTCAGTTTTTTATTATTAGAATTTTTTTTCACAATTTTTATTATATTGTGATTTTTACCTTGGGGGGCACTATGTAAAAACAATTTCTTATTTTTCTTCTTTAAAATTACAATATGTAAGAATGACATGCTGTGGTCAAATTAGATAACTTTAGTCCATTTTCCTAAGCAATAAAATAACATTCCTACTCCTGATCCTTGAGGTTCATGGCTGTTGACAGTTACGGATCAGCATCAGAAAATTCTAGATGACAAACAAAAATCAGTCATGCACAGTAAGTTGATAAGTAGATAAATACATTGTTATATCTGGTTTTAGCATTCTTGGATGCTTTACAGTAGGGAGCAATAATATTTCTCTGGCATTACAGGACGTGTGGTTGTTTGTCGTCTTGCTGTTAGCTTGCTGTTATAGTTCTGAATGACTCATTAAGGAAGAAAAATCCCACGATTGACTCATTCACTTCATACATTTCACTGTAACATTGAAAAAGTAGCTTGAGATAGAGTTGCGCTACAGTAATTCACCGTTAGCATTGTTAGCTTAACGTTAGCCTGTAGCTGGTGCCTATCTCCAGCGGTCAATGGACAATCAGGCGGGGTACACCCTGGACAGAGAGCCAGTCCATCGCAGGGCAACACAGAGACCCACAGGACAAACAATCACACACACACTCACACCTAAGGACAATTTAGACAGACCAATCAACCTAACAGTCATGTTTTTGGACTGGGGGAGGAAGCCGGAGTACCCGGAGAGAACCCACGCATGCACAGGGAGAACATGCAAACTCCATGCAGAAAGATCCCAGGCTGGGAAGCGAACCCAAGACCTTCTTGCTGCAAGGCAACAGCTCTAACCACTGCGTAGCCCTGTTTTTGTACATATTAATTCTTACTCCTGTGTTTTTCAGTAAGTACAAAACAAAGAAGTCCTCAAAATGTTAGAGGCACTTCAGCTAAATGAAAATAATTCTGCTGTCAAGTACTGTTTGCAAGGGTGTTTTTCTTAAAAACCCTCTTTGCATGTTAGCACAAGGGCAGTTGTGTTATTAAAACCAAAAAAGCAAGTTTATTAGCTTTCTAAATTTATCTTTTCACATTAAAATCTAAAGTCTAGCTGTATTTATTATGAGAGCTCAAAGTGCCCTTGGCATGGGGATGCAGCTCCAATAACTTCACAAAAGCTGCAAATGAAAAAGCTTAAAATGTTACATTTTAACACCATAAAAGCAAGAAAAACATTGTTCATTTAGAACAGTGCAATCATCCTAACTGAGGATTTTTCTGACAAATCAATGAGCTCCAACAACTCTATGGCTTTAAGGTATTTATCAAGTTTTTATATTTTGGTGCATTGAAGTCTCACTGTTAAAACCAAAGAATAGATGCATTTATAAATATTCTTCCTTTTTTTAGTGTCTTGAGATCCGTTTGAGTACAGAATGACATGCTGCAAATACTGGGATAATTCATTTAAATGGGTTTAGTTTTAAAAGAAATTTTGCCAGATCTTCTTGCCAAGAAATTTTCAAATAAGGCTTTTGTTCCACTCTTTACCCAAGGAATTAAGAAATAAGAGGCCACAAAGTGAAGTGAATTTTGTGATTATATAACATTACCCATTATGTGGAAGCATTTCTCAATGGTTCTCTTTAAATAGCTGAATAAGTAAGATATGCATCATGAGCAAAAGTTCTAACAGGAGTTTATTTCTCCCAGTGATTCTCCACATCAGCCCTTTGCCGATATTGTATTTAAATAATCCCACAATTTTTGCTTCATATATAAAATCAAAATAATGCTGTCTTGTGACTTTCATCCCCATAGCCTCATGAAATGTATGTAAATATCTTTGTAGTAATACTGTCAACTGATTTATGGAGAAGAATTATTGGTTTGTTATTAAAAAGAAACATTTTGAAGATGAAAACAGCATGCTCTCCTTAAAGCAAGCCAGTTTGTATGGTCTTAAATCCATCAGCTATAAGTGAATTTGACTTTATTAAGAAATGAATTCTAACATATCTTCAAATGCTCACTGCATTATGAACTGCAAGCAGATGGAAAGATGGACATTTTGCTCCTTTTAAAGCACAAAAGTTTCCATTTAATTACTTTATAATCTGAGATTAATGTGAAGACTTTCTACAAACCTGGGAAGAGCTGCTTGGTTGGCGCGCTGATCTGAGTATTTTTTCCCACTCTGTAAGCTATGTCAGGTTTGGATCCTCTCCGGACTGTGCAGAAACCCGGTGTTTTCCGTACTCCTTCAGGGGAACTCTGGAAGTCTAGCACTTTTAGCACATCCACTGGTTCAGCTAAGAAGACAGAAGAAAGAACTGATTAGACTTCAAGTACACGTCCACATCACTGCCAGTGTCATTTATTCAGGTGGCACCTTGCTGAATTTTTAACAAACATCTGTTCTAACTGAATGCTTTGTGCTTATTTACAAATTATATTACAAGGAAATACATCACAGTGTGCATTTAAATGGAACATTCATAAATGTTGCTGTATTTGTGAAGGGTAGGAAAAACTGAAAACCTGCTTTCTAAGAAATGAAATGTTGGATTAACTTTACCAAATTATGTCAAGTGGTTCCACTAAACCTAATTGCTTAAACGTTAAGAGTGATATGTATTTACTTTCACCCATGGATGTAATTTTGGGGGGGGGCAGATCCACCCTTTCCCCCCTAAAATTTTTCCAAAGTCAAGTTTTGACCCCTGCACTTTTTACCATCCCAAAACAACATTACGCTATATTACATAGACACTGGTTGAGCTCTAGGACCAAGCGGAAAACAACCGTTTGTGTTGAAGCCTGTTCCTCATTAGAACATACTGTAACTCCAACCTTAACAATGTATGACAAAGTACATTACTCTTGACAATTAAGCAACTGGCTTTAGTGGAACCAGTAGACATAACATGGTTAAGTTAATTCAATTTTTCATTTCTTACAGTGTGCACGAAGATGCATTTTCAGAATGACCCAATAAAAGGCCAAATTTGACTCTATTAAGTGTCATCATGGTGGATCCAAATTTGCATTTTATTTTATAATTGTGCACATGGAACAATTTAAAATGAAAATATATCCAAATAAAATCATGAGCTTGTGTATCAGGATGATGTACAGCATTCTGAAACAACAGGCTCTATAATAATATTGTATGGAGCATCCTGCATGTGGATTTAACAGTAGTGAAAGAAATTCTTAAGGGTTACAAGAAGATTTAATGAGATCTGACAAGTTGATGATAAATCAACATTTACACCAATTAGACCCTTTCCCTGATCTGAGACTGCTGGCCAAGTCTGCCAGCTCAACGTTTTGTTCGTTTATGAGCTGCCTTGGTAGAACAGCAGTAAAAATGTGAGCGACCATTCAGCAGATGTAATTAGTCCCCCACCTAGAACCTAAACCAACATCCTCGCAGCTCAAAAGCTACAATGTCTTTGTGGCAATAGAACTCCCCGCTGCTGATCACCAGGTCTTCAGAATAGAAAGCACGCAGAGGGAGGCAGCTTAACAGGGTTCTAAATACTCGTTTACACCCCCACGATGATCCGTTCTATCGGTGGACCTGGGACTTGTGGCGAACTGCTGTGCAGTCGTAAACACGGTTTCTCGTGTGTTCTCTCCCCTGCTGCTGTCTAAGTCATGGGCTAAATTTTCACATAAGGGATTATAGGTTTGAGGGGGAGGGTTGGAAACACAACGTTTTACAGGCTCAAATCCTGAATAAATTCTTTGGGTTTACTTACACACCCTTTTGTGAAAATACATTTTTTGGATTACAATCTCTGCAATTATTCATAGATATCACACATATGTAAAAACTGTTAATTTTTTGGAAGGTGATAGGGTTATTTGTGTGCTAATAATGCATCCTAACACCTCAAAGCCAGTTGTGTTGACCTGTTTGTGACTTGTAAAGCATCCTGGCTGTTTGCTTTGATTAAATTCAATTCAAAAATACTTTATTAATCCCAGGGGGAAACTTATTGCTGTAGTAGCTCAGAATAATACTAATAATCAAGTCATCAAAGAGTTGTTGTATATTACAATGGCTGTTGGCAGGACGGATCTCCAGTAGCAGTCAGTGTTGCAGCAAAACTGAAGAAGCCTCTGACTGAAGACACTCTTCCGTTGTCGGACAGTCTTGTGAAGAGAATGCTCAGGGTTGTCCATAATTTTCTTGATTCTCTGGAGAATCCTTCTTTGCATTATCTCCTCCAGTAGTTCCACAGTCGTCCCCAGAACAGAACCAGCCTTTTTATTAGGCTGTTGAGCCTTTTCAGGTCCCTGCTTCTGATGCTACTACCCCAACAGACGATGGCTGAAGAGATTACACTCTAAACAACAGACTTGTCGAAGATCTGCAGCAGCTTGCTACAGGCATTGAAGGACCTAAGCATCCTCAGGAAGTGCAGCCTGCTGTATCCCTTCTTGTAAATGGCTTTGCTGTTCTTTCTCCAGTCCAGTCTGTTGTCCAGGTGAATTCCAAGGTATTTGTATTCCTCAACCACCTCCACTTCTTCTCCCATGATGGAAACAGTGTTTGACTCCACCCTGTTTCTTCTGAAGTCTAAAATCATCTCCTTTGTTTTGTTCGCGTTCAAGGTCAGATGATTGTTTCCACACCATGCCACAAAGTGCTCCACCAGCTCTCTGTACTCAGCTTCCTGTCCATCTCTGATACACCCGACAACTGCAGAGTCATCTGAGTATTTCTGTAGATGACAGGTATCTGATTTGTACTGGAAGTCTGAGGTGTACAGGGTGAAAAGGAATGGTGAGAGTACAGTCCCCTGTGGTGCTCCAATGTTACTGATCACCTGGTTTAATGTGCAGTTCTTCAGCCTCAAACTGTGGTCTGTTTGTCAGGTAGTCTTTAATCCAGGGGATAGTTGAGGCCCCACCTGTGTCTTTTGGAGTTTCTGGCAAAGTACTTCAGGCTGAATTGTGTTAAAGGCACTGGAGAAATCAAAAAACATGACCCTCACAGTGCTGCCTGCTTTGTCCAGATGACAGTGGATTGGTTGAAGCAGCTGGATGATGGCATCTTCAACTCCAACTCCATGGTGATAAGCAAACTGCTGTGGGTCCTGATATGTTCTAGTTTGCTTATTCAGGTGGACCAACAAGAGGCTCTCTGGGACCTTCATGATGTGGGATGTGAGGGCAACCGGTCTATAGTCGTCATTGACTGATGGGCGAGTTTTCTTTGGAACTGTAACAAGGCAGGATGTCTTCCACAGGACTGGAACCTTCTCCTGGGCCAGGCTGAGGTTGAAGAGGTGCTGCAGAATCCCACAGAGCTGCTCTGCACAGGCCTTCAGTACTCTGGGCTGACACCACCTGGACCTGTAGCCTTATTCCTGTTCAGTCTCTCCAGCTGTCTCTTCACCTGACTTCTAGAGACAGATAGAAGGGAGGGGGAGGCAAATGGGGCCGCAGCATCTCCTGACTTGGTTGAAAACAGATTTATAGAACCAGAAGAGTCCATGACTGTGTTAGAGGACAATAGAGCTGGCGTGTGATAGGAAAATGTTGGATCAGAGGAGGATGGGATGTCTGATTGGCTGGGGACAGGCGAGGAGGATGCTGGGTTTGTTCCTGAACTGAACCTATTGAAGAACTTGTTCAGTTCATTGGCTATGTTCAGGCTGCCATCTGTGCAATCCATCCTCTGCTTGAAGTCTGTGATCTTCTTCATCCCTGACCAGACATCTCTGATATTGTTCCTCTGCAGTTTGTTCTCCAGCTTCTTCCTGTATGCCTCCTTGCTGTCTCTGATCTTGATCTTCAGTTGCTTCTGTATACTCCTCAATAATTCCCTGTCTCCCTCCTTGAAGGCTCTTTTTTTCTCATTTAGCAGATTGTTCAGTTCACTGGTGATCCAGGGTATGTTATTAGCAAAGCATCTCACTGTTCTGGTGGGTATGATGTTGTCCACACAGAAGTTTATATAATCAGTGACACATCCAGTCATGGCATTGATGTCCTCTTCATATCCTTGGCAGAGAGTCCTCCAATCTGTGGTCTCAAAACAACCCTGCAGGGCTTCTTCAGCATCCTGTGACCATTCCAAAACCAGAGTAGAATTTTATCCTGATTTAAAATAAAAAAATCTTTAAAAATGTTTTCGATTCTAATTTTCCTACTGAGATGCATCACGTGCTGCTCCACAATGATGGTCCTTCCTTTGAGACAATGCAAAAAACTCATGATGCAAACTTGGCCAAAAACACTGAGGAGAAATGGTGAGAGTTATTAGTCTGGTTGACAACGCGAGCAATGTCTCATTTGAGACTCGTCCTTCTTCACTTTTCTTCTTTCCCTTGCTTTCACAAATCTTCCATTTTTTTTATTTCACTCCAATCCCTAAATTTCTAACCAGTTTGGGATGCTTTTATAATTTTGAGGTGGTGAAAAAGAAAGACAATTTTACACATTTATAGGAGGGACTGGGCTGCAATGATCCATCTTTACAAAGTTCTCCAGTTGCTGACATATATTTATATTACAGATTTTTAAATGGGAGCATTCTGGTTTTGGGGTAACCCAACACACATAATTACATTTAGAACACACAGCTAAAGACATCACTGTATCCTAGAAGAAAGGAAGCTTTGGCCACGGATACCCATGCATTTAGATACAGTGGGCATGTCCAAACTGTCCAACCTTGTAATGCATAATTACATCCCTGGTCGCTCACTCTCACTTCCCCTCCAGTCTTTTGCTCTCTGCAACTGTTTGGATTCTAAAGCTCCAGTGCCATTATTTCCTCGAAGCACATCATTGCCTACAGTGTGATTATAAAGTTATCATTGAGGAATTCTCAGAGCAGCGTTGGCGTCATCTGTGATTAAAGCAAGTCTGCTAGAGGCTGTGTTTATTTGAGAATAAACGGTAAGTAGATGCCATCGGTCCAAGATGCTGTCAAAAAGTAAAATGTAAATCTAAAACAAAAACTCATTGTTTGGACTACAGTTTGAAGGTGCAATATGTAAGAATGACGTAAGTGTGACATCCTGCAGTGAAATTTGATCACTGCAGCTCATTTTTCAATCAAAACGAGTTCCATTTTTTACCCCCATCTTGAGTTTCATGGCTGTTGCAGAACCAGAAGATTCTAGATAACGAGCAAAGATTAGTCACACAACGTAATGCGATAAGTAGATAAATACTTCTCAATGTAAGATTGAGTTGATCATAGAAAAAGTAGCTTGAAAAATTTTTAGAGCTGACTACCTGTTCTAATTCACCATTAGCATTGTTAGCTCAATATTAGCCTCTGGCCTGCATCACCAAATGTTAGAGTGAAACGAAAAGATACTGTGGCTCCTTAGAGGCACAGGAAATCCAAATATCCTGAAACTTCTATGTCACTTCTGTTACTGGCTAACTATCTTCACAAAACGCTGCTGTGTGATTGAGACATTAGACCTTTTTAAGATTATTCCACTGTGAAATTATTGAACCCCTAAAAAGAAAACGCAATAAAAAAATCAAAGTCATACTTATATATTCATGTTTTTGGTCATGCTTAAACTCTTTATTTTGCTGATTATAATCATTTTCAGGCTATCACTAACTAGCATTAGCTTCTACCTGACATTCCATAACCAACAAAACGCTTGAAGCATTAGTTTGATTAAAGCTTTTATTGCATGCAAAAATAGAAGAATTTACAAATATTTTTCAAGTTTTACTTTACATAAACATTAATCAAACATTTGACTGATTATTTAATATTTACTTTTTTAATGGGTTAAAATTAGGGGCTTTGGAGCTTATAATTCTCCTTTGTGAATGCAGATTTAACCATTCTTCTGAAATGGAACCAGCTTACAATTTGCCAACTGAAACCAATGAATCAATCTAAAATCCTACAAAACCAATGTGGCTTTTTTACAAATGCAAACGGGGCTTTAAAAATATTTATGTGGAAATTCCTTAATGTCCAAATTCTAAGAAAAAAGATAAACACTTTTTATTCTTTTTACAATACATACATCTTACACTGTAGCTGCCTCTAAATAAAAAGCCATGGACATTTTAGTTAAACAGAATCTCCAGCATCTTCCATTTTTGGTCACATGGTGATAGGAAGTGCTGATTGTGCAGTTCCCAGTTGCTTTCAAAGGCCAGAACTGGTTCTGATGGGCGGAGCTAACAGTCCACATGCTGAAGCCATTATAGAGCTGGCACAACTCCCTTTACCCCCTAACTAAAACATACATGAGACCAAAGTAAGAGGGCCCCGTCCCTGTTGCTACTTTCAGTGTGAATAATACTGACTTGAGCCGTGATTCAAACCCTTTTCAGCTGCTTTCATGCTAAGAAGATCATGAGATGTGTCCCAGGCTGAGTCTGTAAAAGAACTGGGGTACCGAGATCAGTCCAGATAAGTCGGTGTTACGCTTTGGGTTAAGAAAATATAAGCAAGAACGTCTTTTATTTTGATTTCCATGAATTTCAGAGAAGATTTTTCTGCTGAGGGTGTAAAAATGCCTCCATAAGTGACTCAGCCAAAAATGAATTGACCGTTATTATTTGAACAGAGAAAAACTTGAGGCATTGAATGCCAGGTTTAAAACCTCACACAAAATGGCTCATCAAAAGGAAAATAGTCTGCGGTTCCTCTAAATATTGTCCCAAGTACAGAGCTACTGGTTCTTGAAAAAAAGAAGAGCTTGGACCAATGGTCTCTTTGTGAGTTTCAGAATGCCTTTCTGCATTACTGCATACCTCAAGGCCTCATATATTCCAGATGTGCTGAATTGGCCAAGAACCCCCCACAGACCCACCCACCAGCACCCCTCACTCCTCAGCCCCCACTCTTTCCACAATCATTGCTCCACAGAAGCCCCGAAAAACCGGCAGCATCCCAAAACCCATTAAAGAACCTGAATGAGCAGGAATGGATTTTCTGCCTCTAAGAAGGTGCAGACATCACGCTACGCTCTCAAAACTAAAAAAAAAAAACCTTTTATTTGTCAATAAAAATAAATCTAATGATAAGGATGCAAAAAAAAACCTTTTATTTGTCAATAAAAAAACAAATCTAATGATAAGGATGCAAAACCACAAGAGGGAGCAGACAGGACCAAAGCAGTCTCTCCACAGTCTCGTCTGAGGGATCATTTGTCAGTCTCTGATTTTTAATGACACATCCGATGTTGCTGTGGAGCGCTTTTGATATGCTAACAAGTAATAACAAGCACGTGTTGACGTGACAACCCCTGCAGGATCATTAAAGCAATTTCATGAGGCACCTTTAAACATAAACATACCACTTTGAAAACAATTCAGAACTTTCCATCTTAAAAGTCACCCCCGCTCATAAAGTTAAGCTTAGCGACAAGCGTTGAATTATGTGATATTCTAACTCAAAGTCCCTGCGGCTGTGTGGTCACACAGCAGCATCTTGGGATGTCTCGTCCATCTTTTCCTATCACTGCCATCGCCTGAGATTTGGCAACACAGACAGCAATTAAAGGCACACTGGTGAGCTTGTAAATGTGTGGTAGCTTATCATGCAATTATGGTTTACCTAAATATCTGTCAGTTTTCAGAACTCCAGGCAATGGGCACAAGTGCCTTTGTAATCGTTTTATGTAGAATGTTGGTCTAATTCCAACCATAATGGGAATAAACTTTTAAAAATTTTGATTAGGTCGTATCTGAATGTCAACCTAGCAAAGCAACACTACAGTGTGGCTCCTTTTATGTCTCTACAAAGAAAAGTATTTGGTATGGCACACATATACGTACTCTTAAAGCAATGAAAATACTCCCCCCATACTTTTTTTTTCCAATAACGCCCCTTCTTGGAATCAGTGGAAGCCTGGATAATGTGGAAAGAAGGTGATCCTATGAGGGAGAATATGAATTTCGCTCAGAAAATTTCAGTCTTGTGCCCAGATATTATATAAACTTTCAAAACCATTACAGTCTTTTTCAAAATCAGTGCAGGTACCACATTTAAAGGATGTGTGTGTGTGGGGGGTGGGGTGGGGGGGGGGTGGGGGGCTGGCATTTAATGGCTTTCTTGAATTCAATTACTTGATATCCTGTGCATAGGCAGTAAATGGTGCGTAAAAGTTGTGCGTAAAGCCATGAATGTTTCCAGACTGCTCCAATTCCAAAGCGAATCAAATAGATTTGATGCAAATATCTGCATCATCCAACCTGAATAGAATTGCAATTCATAAACGTAGCATTTATTTTCTGTACGCTTAGTAATAAAACGACGGATATATTTGCGTCAAAACGCAGATGTCCGCGCGCTCCATTCTGACCACACCTGGATGACAGGCCATCAAATCAAAGGGGCTGCAGCAGAACATCTGTCCAAGACAAGGTTGAGTGTTTACTTGTAGTATTAATATTATTCATAGTATTATTGCAAACCGCACTAACTGCGAGCCAGACCCATCAAACGGAAGCTATCTTAGGATACTTTTAAAAAGCCACCCAATAATAAAAACCGAGAAAAACGTCTACTCATAACTCAGATTGCAGAACTTAAACAACAACTTAAATGAGGCGAGGATAAATCACGATCTCAGGTAATAAAAATGTTAGGAGCAGCAGCTGTCTGGGGCTTCTGTGAACCCACTGCCACCTCCAGGCTGCGTGCCAGCTCCTCTAACTGTCCTGAATTATTCCACACGGGGACACAGGTGTGGAACTCACCTGCTCTGACGCAGGACGTTTGTAGGAATAAAAGTAACGTGACCACAGCGGCTTGCGTGGAATCCAATAGACGCCTTTTCGTTTTCCACCTGATGGTCCATCTTTGCATCTCCATGACCGAGCGCCCGCTGCAAAACCGTAAAACGGGCGACTTTCTTTTAAAAAAAGGAAGTGGTTCCTTTGAAAATATAAAATCCACAAAAAATGTGCGGATTCTACAGCGCCATGTGTGAAAGTTGAAGGATTTCTCTCTCAGCCAGACCGGGCCCCTCAGACTCGCTCCCCCCTAAGCCCAGAGCTCACACTGATGGTTAAAGGGCTTTCGTGAAGGAAAAAAAAAGACACTTTCCTCCCTGAGCGTTGCGCACCGTGAGGAGGCAGGACAAACGCCGCGACACTAAACATGAACTGCTGGCGGGAGACTGGCACTCGGAAACCCTGGAAAGCTGTTTCCTGGACCGCCCCTCTGCGCTCTGATACAGAAAAGTAGCAGCATCAGTCGGAGCATCACTGCATCCCTGTTGAACCTGAATCTAATCAGAGAAGCCCAACACCAAGTAAAATCTCCCCCTTTAAGGGAACCAGACAAATAAAAGCTATTTTGCACAAGAACCGCTAACCTAAATGCAACACACGCAAATGAAGCCCCAGAGCTGTCTTTTTAGACATTTCCTGAGAAAAGCAGAGCCAATTAGCCCCTATGGTTATAGAAAACGTTCGAAAGCCATAAAAAGTTTCCCAGACCCTGGGAACGTCCTGAAGAATTTTTCTTTTGACAGCAGAGCTCTGGGGCCTGATAACAATTAATGCAAAGAGATGACTGGAGTAAAGAATGGAAGCGCTGGTGGTGGCGATATAGTTGTTTTGGTTTTAAGTGAGCACAGCCATGGAGGGCTTCTGTAGTGCAGTGGAAGAAAAACCACATGGCAGCAAGTTTGTTAGTGAGATAAACTGTACTGATTAAAAAAGCAGCACACTCAAAAAATGACTGGCCCAAATACCGGCTAATTTTTTTATGTTGGATTTAACTAAAAGTTTTAAAATCACAACTATCATTTTTTATGATTAAGTCAAATAAGGTTACCTTAAAAGATCTATCAATGACTTTTTTCAATACAAAAACACGGAAAATTTACATGCAAATACCACAAGCCTGGAGGAGTTCTGCCGTGGTGAGTTCGCTAATGCTAATGATTATCTTCTAGTAGCCAAGACATTATCTGCCGTTTCCTGGACGCTAGACCATCAACAGCCTTCCCCATCGTGAGTTTAGATGGGTGAGTCCTTGAATGTTAAGTGACAGTGTGACATAGATCTGTCAGGATTTTCTAATCCTAGAGTTCCACCGTCTATCTTCTATCAGAAGCTAATGCTGGAGATAGGAGTAGGAGACTGTTTTCATGTTCAGCCTGCACGAAAAAATCAGAGTAACTGATTATAATCAGATACAAGATTTAAAAAATGTTTTTACAGTGTCCCACACCTTTAACCCTCCCACTGTCTTCATGGGTGACCCCGCAAAGAAAGTTGACCATTGAGCAGGATTGATGGTTTATCCCTTGAGGTCCATGTGGCAGGGGTGAGGAGTGAGCACCACCTCACCCCTGCCACATGGACCTCAAGGGATAAACCATCAACCCTGCGCAATGGTCAACTTTCCTCACGGGGTCACCCATGAAGACAGTGGGAGGATTAAGTTGCTTGCATAATTATTTTGTGAAAGTTATGAAAGCCAACGAGCTTCTTCAGGATGATAAAAAGATTCTAAGCAGCCGGACCTTTTCTTCCTGGTAGTCGGTTTGCATTTTGTTTGACGTTTTTTGGTGGAGTCAGAACCTCGTTCTCTTGTCCCTTTCTTGCAAAGTCAGTCCAACGTTCTGGTCCTGGTTCAGTGCGCTGCCAGAGAATACATGTGAACAACCAGACATGAAGTTTTCATTCTCAGCTTGGCTCAGCCAGTGGGTAAACTGTACAGATGGATGTTCAGACAGACTTGGCTTCGGCGCTGCTCTCTCGGTACTTGAAAGCATATCATTATAAGTGGTGCATTTACTACAAATGTGTACTGAGATGACATTGTATAATTATTCTATAATAAGTCCCCTCTCTGTGCACGGTTCAGACAAGTGCAGCTGTAAAAATAATTCTCTAAAAATGTGGCCCAGTGGTTTTGTTTCTCTATATAAAGTAGTCTTTAATCAGCACTTTCAAAGTTTTTAACAAAAAAAATATTTTTGCTACAGTCCAGAAATATTAAACTGGCACTACTTTAGAAGGATTTCAAATTAGAGGATATTTCAAAATGGGCCAGATAAAAATGATCTAAAATTACTGTAAACCATTTTTAAATTAAAAAAAAAAGTGTTTTTTGATCTTCAACTTGCGTTTTAGTTTGCACATTCTTGTTTTCACAGTTGTCATTGTGTGTGAAATTATTGATTTTCAAAATAAAAACATCCTTAGAAAAGACAGAAGCAATGTTCAGTGAATACAGACTGTTTGAACAAAATCTGCCATTGTTTTACTGGCACATTGCACTGATAAACCTGTTATTCATGGATGTGAAATGAATCATCACAGAAAGGTTTTCTGGATTTTTCTGTTTGAATACAAACAACATTGCATTCATGCAAGAGTTGAATGCATGGAGCACGCTCAGTCCCAGTGATGGGGTACTTTATTTCATTGCTGTTGTGGATTCCAAACTATAACATTCTCATATGTGCACCAAAATGTTTTGTAATTAAGTTTCCAAAAAGTTTAAATGACTTAAACTAAATTTAAAGTAACTGTTTAGGTTCATCAAGACGTACAAAATGCCACATTCGGTATAATGAGGCAGTTCTGCACCGCAACCACTGAGTTCATCCTCACCTCTTCAGCCACCATGTGGTACGCTGGAGCTGCCACCAGGGACGAGAAAGCTGCAGTGTGTTGTACTCTCTGCTGAGAAGGTCATTGGCTGCAAACTCCCCTCCATGCAGGACCTGTACACCTGTAGGTCGGATCACAGCAGACCCGTGTCATCCTGGACACAGTCTCTTTGACTTGCTCCCATCAGGCAGGAGGTCCCGATCCATCTGAACCAGGACCTCTCGCCATAAGAACAGTTTCTTCCACTCTGCAGTTGGACTCATGAATGACAGTCATAGGGCTGCCCACTCCTATTGCTTGGTTTAAGTCACATGATCATGTGTTCTGTTTGTACCTGAACTGATCTGCTCTGATCAGTACCTACACTGTATTTATACTATAGTAGCCATTTCTCTAATTATTGCCACTTTTTAAAATTATTTTATCATGAGTATATTCTTACTTCCTATATTTGCTCATCTCTTATTTTTATCTTTCTACTTTGCACCAAGTACCACAGCAATTTCCTAATGTTGATGCATATGGCAATAAAACCCTTCTGATTCTGATAAACATGGCACAAAATTTAAGCATTTGCACAATCAGTCTTAAACTGTTCATTCAATCATGATTCATCACCTTTACAAGGAACAATTTGTGAAGATTTTGCATCTGTGAACTACACCTGTGGGTAGCAACTCTTCAAAAATGTGCCAAAATTCTCCTGCTGGTAATAACGTGTCCTGAGCTTCAAGTGCCGTTCAGTGTTCCAGTCACAGCTGTATGACTGGAGGGCCACTACCTGCCTGTGTTCAGATTCCCTGAAGCAATGAGAGATTAACAGGCTTTTGAAGAACTTGATGACATGCTGAAAAAGTGATGCAATTAAGGACTCGGGTGGGTTGGAGCCAGCTAACAGCTAAAACATGCAGGCTCTTAAAAAAAGTGTTACCAAGTCAGTGCTTTGCAAGTCACAAGTAAGTCACAAGTCATGAGTCAAGTCCAAGTCAAAGACAACCAAGTCCAAGTCGAGTCCAAAGTCATTGATCTGGAAGTCCAAGTCCTAAACTTTGAATTTTCAAGTCATAATCAAGTCATCTGTCCAACTTAAATTTAATGACAATGATAATAAATAATTTCCAGAAATAAAGCTTCTTAAAGCTTAATTTATTTGCTCAAACAAGCAGAAAGTGCAACTGAAACTGATTGTAAACAAAGTGCTGCTGCATTTAGCAGTACAAGATCACACCCAGAACAAAGAATGATTTAGGATTTTTGTCCATGCCGTGCCACTTTTGTGCTAAAATATCAAATATGCTCAAGTCATCGAGTCAACAGATGCAAGTCGCAATTCATTGGCGTCCAAGTCCGAGTCAAGTTGTGAGTCTTTATAGATTTTATCAAGTATAGTCAAAAGTCATTCAAATAATGACTCAAGTCCAAGTCAACACCACCACGCTGGGCCATCTTCAGCAACTCCAGGTTGGGGAATGGGGTGGCATGTGCCAAGGCTGGTCACCAGCATGATGATGAGGTGTGTATGCTGTATTTTATTTTATTTTATTTTTTACAGATGTAAAGTGCAATCACCCAATTCACCAATTAACTTAAAACAACTTAATAGTTTCTGTTGTTTTTTCATGCAACAGCATTTTGGGTAAAGTTAGGAAGGTTTTCAGCATACAAAGCATTGCTTTAGCTCAAGTGACTAACTTTGAGCTATCCCTCCTGTCGTCAGTAGGAAAAACAAAGATCTTCATTACTCTGAACAGTCAAATTTCCTGTGAGTGCCAAATTAAAAGCGATTCTCTTGAACTCAGACATCCGTTACCAGATTAAGAGCAGAAGTAACCTCAGGAGCTCCACGTTACCATTAATTATCCACCGTGCAGCTGGATGGGGGTGGAGAGCGATACGTTTTAGACTCCTCAGACCACAAAACCATCAAGTGGAATGTAAGTTAGTCTGGGCATGCTTATTCTATGTAGCACATGGTGCTGAGATAAAATCACCTAAGACTTTGTATTAGGAGACAGAAAGAATTGACAGCACAAAGCAATAATGCCAGCAGCATCAACCATAGACTTACTCAATATATTTAACAAATATCCATATGCATTGAAATGTCTGAGCAATATTTAAATGTTTTCATGCAAATCTGATCTTTTTTACAAAATATTTTTGTACTAAAGGGTTACTTTGCGACTTTTTCTTACTTTTAAATCATTTTAAGCCAGTCTGTGCTAAAAGGACCCTGCAGGGTTAACGAAAGGCCACCTAACCTCTATCCCTCCCTGTGGCTAGAATATTTCACTTGCAACTTCAGACTAGCAGGTTGCTCTGTTGCGACTTAGAAAAAAATGAACTGACATACCTGGTGCTGCAGTCTTGTTACAACATGTTTCCTGCAGGTTTTAGATCATGAACACAGCTGATTTGTTTAATTTAGTGATTGACCACTCCTGTAGACACTAAAAAGTCTGGGGCACACTGAGGTGGATGCACCGCATCACACCCAAGATTTTGAGTAATCAAGTGGTCACACATAATGCACCACG